TATATATATATATACATATATATTCTGTGTAATTAGATAGCAAATGTTCTTTGAGGCAAATACTGTTGAAAACGACTGTCTGAATGCGACAGTCTGTTTCATGCTAGAGGCAATCGTCAGGCCTGAAACAGACTGTCACCTCTAAGTGTTGACTTCTATGTTCACTTTTATATTTATAGATAGATAGATAGATAGATAGATAGATCAAATGTGCACCGATATAATGACAAGATAAAAAACAAATAGGAAACATTTATCAATCTAACAAGTTTAATAAAAGTGAAACATGTTAGTTAAACGTTTCTTATTTGTTCTTTACCTTATCATGTATATCCATAAATATTTGAATGCGTTTGTGTTTCATCATATATATATATATATATATATATATATATATATATTTCATATACAGTATGTCTGTAAATGGACAATATGAATAAAGACAAAAGAAAAACTTATCTTAGCCGACGCGTTTCGTCCTATGAGGGACATTAACAAGGCAAATGTGAGTATTTTATCTTGTAACAACTGCTTATATATAAGAGCACAATTTTTATTGGTTTTACAATTTTTTTAGGCAGAATAACGCTCGTAAATTTTCATCAACCTAGCTAAAAAGTCAGAGAAGTTATGGAGGACAGAAGTGGCATAATTCAATATCAAATAAACGAAATTGTGTAAGTGATTTTTTTTTTTATTATTCTTTATGCAAATTAGTATTTAAATTATTTTGGTTTGGGACTAATTCATGTGCTAAATATTTTTATAACATGAGCTTATGGATTTAACCATTTTCTTTTAATTTTTTGGCATTTTTTAAATATTTTTGTAATCATATATTTTGGCAGCAATACTTTCAGGAATTAAAAACATCTGGGGTGCAGATTTGTATTTTGCTAACATTCAGTAGCAGCACTCTCGAAAAAATTTTCTTCTCTGCATCGTGGCTTTCATCCCAGCAAGAAAATACCAAGTTAAATCGCACTCATCTCCTTGGTTCTCACCTGCTTGCTCAGCCGCTATAGCCCACAGGAATCACTTCTTCCGTCTGTACCGGAGCGACATGTCTTATTACAACAGACATCTCTTTGTGTCTGCTCGTAATGAGCGCAAGAAGGTCCTTAATGAAGCAAAGTTACTGTTTGATGATAGAATGAAACAACCTACTGCATCTCGCAAGTGTGGTTCTAAAGATTATCGGCGGCTCTGCAAGAATGTGCTGAAGTACAGCAAATCCTCAATCTCTACTCTATTCAATAAATTCGAAGTCCTAACATCCACAGCTGATAAGGCTGAATGCTTTGCTCAGAGATTCTCATCCAACTCAACACACGACTCATCCGGAATACCCATACCTGATTTTCCCCCTAGAACTGAGGCTCTACTGAGTGAGATGAGCATGACTCTCCGTCAATGATATTGGATATCGCCTCTAAATTAGACTCTCATAAGGCTAGTGATGGGAACGGGATACCAGCCGTAGTTCTAAAGAAATGTGCCACTGAGATGGCTCCAGTTCTCTCCAAACTATATAACTATTACCTCTCTGATTCTTGATTTCCAGCCTGTTGGAAGTCCTGTCGGACATATCTTTAAGAACTCTGCAGACCATTCTGACTCATCTAACTATCGTCCTATCAGTCTCCTACCACTCTTCGGCAAAGTTTTCGACGCTTTAATCAATTCCGAAGTGGTTAAGCATCTTACCTCCCACAATCTCCTCTCTGACAAACAATATGGTTTCCGCTTTGCCCGGTCTACAGCTGACGTGCTAACGAACATAACTGAATATGTATATCAAGCTCTTTTTAATAACGACGTAGCTCCAGCTGTGGCTCGAGATATATCGAAGGCGTTTGACAGCCGGCCTTCTACGTAAGCTTCAGGGATACTGTATTACAGGGCGATTATTTGATTTAATCCAATCCACCCTGTCAAACCGTGAAATGAAAGTCGCCCTTCCAGTTCCTTTCATAGAAACGTTGGTATTCTTCGAAGTTTTATCCTTGGTCCGACATTGTTTCTTATCTTCATCAATGATCTTCCTGACGTCATCAGTTCTCAAGTAGGCATCTACGCAGACAACACTACCATTTACTCCTGTCTCAATAGTAAATACGGTACTGATGAAAAATTTAACCTGGCCGTTGGTCTCGACAAGGACCTCCAATCTGTGGTTGACTGGGGCAGAAAATGACTTGTAAATTTGAATGCATCCAAAACGAAAACTGCTTTCGTTTACTAACCATAGAGAAACTTCCCTGCCTCCTATCATTATGGTTGATGCTCAACTTCATGAGATCGCCTCACTGCGCCTTCTTGGTCTCATGTTTTCCACTGACCTGAGGTGGGGCAACTACATTGAATCAATAGCTTCATCTCCCACAGGGAAAGTTGGTTCTCTGTGTCGCGCCAGAAGGTTTCTCTCGTCTGAGTCGATCCTTCACATCTAAAAATCTACCATTCGACCTTGCATTGAATACTGTTGCCATATATGGTC